CGAGTGACAAACATATTATGAACTTTTCGCGTCAATATGTCTCATAATAGTCTATACCATATGTTTGCTTAAAGTCTTTCGCCAAGAGTCTTACTTTATACTTCTGAACTGAGTCATTTGGATTCAATTTTGTGTTGTAAATTCATTTAAACACCAATTATTTTACAATCTTTTGGTCGATCTACTAGCTTTTAAGTATTATTCTTTTCTATTTTGTGGATTTCATCTTGCATAGCTTTTACCCAATTTTGTAGTTTCTTAGCTTCTATAAAGCATTGTAACTCAACTAGCAAGAATTTTGAATTTTTAATAGACTTCTTACTCCATTTGGAGCTGACTCTGGAATAGTTGACTCTTCTCTAGCGTTTCTACTAGAACTCAGGCTTAAACTTGGAATATAAGTTAAGCTTGAATTAGACTCACCTTTTCTTAGAGTGTTATGTTGATCATATGCCTCGATTATATGAGTATTTGGCTAACCTAATGAGATAATAGTTGGTGTGACTACTTTTTTTAAACCTTCTCTAATTTTTCTTTTCCAAATTATATACCCTGCACCCTTTTATTACTTTATCATAGCTAATAAAAATACATCTTCATTTTTTTAATCAAATTTTGATATGTTCTCAGTTGGTACATGAGTGTAACATGTATAATCAAAAATCTTCATGTGACTAACCACCAGTTTGATACCGCTCCATGCTTCAATTGAAGTTCACTTTGGAACTAACTTTGTTGGATTCCTATTTGAGATATAAATTGTTGTATTTATTGTTTCTACCCAAAAAGTATTAAACACATTTTTTCTTTAAGCATCGATTTAGCCATCTCGACAATCGTGTGATTGCTTATGTCAGCGACACTATTTTGTTGAAGAGTATATGATGCTATCAATTGTCTCCAAATACTGTATTTTCACCCAAACGATCAAAGTTCTTCGAGGTAAATTGATTGCCCGGATCACTTTATAAGACTTCAATTTTATGATCATTTCGATTTTTCACCATGAATTTAAATTTCTTGAACATTTCAAAGGCCTCTAACTTCTCTTTTAGAAAATACACCCACGTCATCCTTATATAGTCATCAACAAAAACTAGAAAATACTAGCTTTGACCTTATGATGGTTTTTGTATTTTTCCACATATGTTGATGTGAACTAGCTCAAGAAGTACACGTGCTCACCAAGATCCTCCATATGGAAAAGATGTTCGATACTGCTTGCCAAAGATGCATCCTCTGCATGTGTTCAAACATGTGTTGATAAATGGTAGGCCTTGAACCATACTTTTAACTCTTACCAACCTTAAAGCATTATAGTTGAGATGGTCGAAACTTTTGTGCCATAAATTTGAGAAGTCTGCTACCTCAGTCTGTAATACCACTTCTGAAGCATAACTTATTTACATCAAAAAATTTCTACACCTCTCCATATCAATTTTGGCTAACAAATTATTGTTGTTTCTTCTATCAAAAGTTTTTGCAACCTCCATCTTCAAAATAAATTGCATAACTATTTTATAGAAGTTGTCTGATACTCAACAGGTTTTGCTTCAAATATGAAACTAATAGCATATCTTGAAAAAACTTAGGTCCCTTCTTGGTTTATACAACAATACTACTTTTGCCTTTAGCTTGAACTAGATTACCATTTTCCGTATGTACCTTGGTCTCATACGACACATCTATATCTTGGAACAATTTTTAGTTACTTATCATGTGGTTTATGCAGCCACTATCCTAGTACCAAATATCATCTATCAATTCTATTGTAGTATGATATATAAAGAAGATGTTTTATGGATTCTCTTTTTCTTCAAAGAAATTTGCATGGTCACTAACTTGAGTTTTGTAGTATTTCACGATATGCCTATGCTTCTTGTACTTATTACAGCTTTTTTTTATACCAACATCTCGACATACTATAATTTGATTTCTTGCATACCACATATTTGAACTCGAACCTAATTCTCTTACAGTTTGATTTTGCTGCTTTTGCACATCTTGTCCATCTTTCCTCTGAGAATTTCTTTGATTTGTCAATGATGTTTGAGTTTTAACTTGTGTTAAAAGCACTTTCCACAGAGTTGTTCCACTCTGTAATCATTTTATCTCATCTGACTCCAAGGAACTCATTAATTATTGAATTATAAGAATGGACAATTTATTTGACTCTTCAATTACAACAATGATATATTCATATTTTTCAAGCAACTAATCGATATTTTCTCAACTTCTTTTTTATAAGAGATTTCTTCACCATAATTATGCACCTAGTTTACAATCTCGATTATTTTACAGAAGTACTCCTTTATTCTCTCTGTCTCCTTCATTTGTAAATTCTAAAAATTGCCTTCATAAGGTCTATAACTTCATGACAATCACCTTTGAAAATCCCTGGAACTCTCCTTACTATATATTCCACAATTTTTTCATATTTTTTTTTGCACCAATTGTATGTGAGAACAAATTTTCTACAACCCTCTATTGTATGAAAAACAAGACTCTAAAATCTTTCATTTGATTCTCTATTAACCTCTTTGTTTTCTCTTTTGTTGGTTGCTGCTCAATAACAAGTTGAAAATTATCATTCTCAACTATCTCCTACAATCATTGTAATAATAGTAACGTTCATATCTTAATCTTCCAAATATCATAATTTTCTTCCATGAATACGGGAACCATCGTTTGTGCCATACCTATGCCAATACCTGAAGTCATCATTTCAAGATGCTTCTTCAAATTTCACGAACATAAATTCCTACTTCATTAACGCCTGTACTTGAACCAGCCTATGATACTAATTATTGGAACTAAAATGAAGACTATATAATTGTTATTGATGTAAATTGTTTAACTAGAGAGATATATTGAAAGCAAATAACATAAAATTTCTATTCAATCAAAAAAGAATACTAGTACACAATAATACATCGCTATATATAGGTACTGATAACCGCCTATTAATTTTTTTCTTCGTAATCACTCATTTATTTTATTTAATTACTATTTAATTTAATATTATTTCATTTTAATTTTTTCATCATAACCGTCCATTTAAAATTTCTTTCATAATCGACAATTTATGATTTTACATAAATAAAATTAATTAATTAATTAATTCTAACAGAAAAATCTTTAACCTGTGAGTGAGAAAGGAGAGAAACGGAGAGTTGAGACATGGTTTATATGAGAAATTTGGCATGAATAAAATGTATGGATTGTAGGACAAGTATTTGACTGTTTAATTGGTTAATATCTTTTTCAAAAAATTAAAAAAATAAAAAAAATAAAAAAATAAAAAGAAGAATAGGAAGAACTGTATGAGATGAATGAGGTTTCAAGATACTCTTAAGTTCCTGCATGGTTATGGCTTTTGTTTAAAGTTTAGATTAACGTTTGTTTTTTTGAGTTCACCATTAATATATATATATATATATATATATATATATATTTTCGCTGCCGTTTTCTCTCTGGGATTTTGGTTATGTGGTTTGGTGACGATGATATGACCTCCATATGGCTATTGTATCCGCATGAAAAGAGGGATTAATATGGCTCATTGTGGGTATAAAAGTTAATGGAATATTATGCTTTAATTAAAAAATAAAATAAAATAAAATAAAAATTTAAGAGGACAATAATAAATAACAAGTGAAAAATGATAATAATAATAAAAAGCGTTAAATGAAAGAAAATATCGTAAACGTAAAGAAGCATTCTTGAACAAGTATTTTTAAATTTTAATACGATTGTCATATGACGGACTCGTATGGCACAAAGAGAGAATGATGATTTTGGAAGGTAATTATTTTGTAAATTTTTTCTTATTTTTTATTTTAATGTATTTTAAATTTCTATCTCTTTTTGTTATATATAAATAAAGTAATAAAATCAATGATGAATGATAATGCAAAATACACACATCAATAAAAAGATCAAAAGAAGAATAAAAATAAAATATATAAAAATGATTTAGACATGTAATTCACCAACCAACTAATTAACTTATATCACGAGATAGGATTCCCTAAACCTTTTGTGAATTGAAAATTTTTAAAATTAGATTACGTAATTTTTATAATGTATCGATTCCATTTCTAATAGATTGACGGTGACTTTGAAAATTATTTAAAATTTAAAATTTATTTTTTTCAGACTTATTTTTTTTAGTTTTATGTCACCCATGCAATGAGAATGTCAATTTCAACTTAAGGAAGGATGTAAACAATTATTGTATTTCAAGTTGAAACGTAATCCACTACAATAATAAAGATCTTATAAATAAATACATTTTTTTTTTTTTATGGAGAGACCAGCATATCCGTTTTTTTTTTTTCAGTTTTGATATTATTCAATCTGCAGTGTAGTTATAGTCCCCATATTCAACATAGGCTAGCTAGAAAGGCTTATCCCCCTAATTGGTTCAAACTTTACTCAGTAATAATTCTAGTGTACAATTTTATTGGAGGTAACTATAAACAGTGCCTTTTAAGATCCCATGCTTGCATAAAGTCATAAAATTCGAAGGCTTACCAGAGATGTTGGACTCCTTTTATGTCAAGTAACTTCACCGTATTAATAATCGACATAATCTCAAATGAATATAAATGTTCAACTTGGGTCCATAATTAGACTCAATTGGAAGATTCAAATATCTCAATATTCACAAAAAAATACAACACCTACACTGATCACCCTGACTTCAAAAGGCACTTAATAATCACATGACTTACGATATTGGATGGAAGTGTTTATGCTAGGCTGTAGGTTTTTATTCCCCCCTGTCTTTCGTTTTTCCTCTTGTAATTGGAATTAAAAAAAAAAAAAAAAGTTGGTTGTTATTCATTGACCTAGCACTGTCTTAATGACTATTAAGATATCATGTATTGATGGAGTATGACCCTTAAAGATATCATGCATGGACAGAGTCAGAGGATCTAATAATAATTTTGATTATATCAACTTTACAAGTAAATTATTAATAATTATATTACTTATTAGTTTTAAGAGTGCATTAACTTAATATATTCCTATAGTCATTTACAATATATTACACTTCTATTTCATTTCATGTATCATCGAATCAAATATAAAATAAAACTGTGATGAACTATTCCTAATGATGAACCCCAAGCAACATATTGTAATCGTGATTCTGTTACATCATTATTCTATTATTACTAAACAAAATTTCTATTATGGCCTTTATTTCATCCAGCAAACCCATTGATCTGGTAAAATTTTCCCGGAAGCTGAATGGTATACTCCATGGAGAGAAAATCACAATATGCGGCTGTCCTCAGATTTCGCTTCTGCATAACAATTATGGCTTCGTTGGAGGATTACTATCTTCCATCACCAGAGGGATGTAGCACCTGGCAAACTAGCTTCTCTGGCAGCTCCTTCTTAGCCTACAAAAACCAAAAACCAAAAACTATAACTAAATATCCATTTTGTGTTACAGTACTAAGCTTTTAAGTAAAGATTTTAAATTTAATCCTGACCTGAAAATGTCGCATGTGTAAAATTGGCTCACACCCAACGTCTGCAATTGATTTTCCTGAATGCATCTGGGACTTAAATCGGGCAGCTTCATATGGCAGAAGTATATTTTTCTTATCAGGTAGGTTATGGCATACTTTCAACAATGACGCAAGAGAATTCATCTGACAGATCAGAGTAAGACTATATGAGAAGATAAACATCAAAACCATAAATCAATAAGAAAACACCACATGGGAAAAACCATAGAGCATCTGTGGTTTGAGAGATGCCACAGACAGACAACTAAGACTATTTCATGGAGCAGGGAAAGGCCCAGTCTTGCATCCCAGGAGAAGCCTTTATACACATTTAGATATGAAAAAAAAAAAAAAAAAAAAAAAAAAGAATACGAAAGATTCATAGTAACATGAGAACATACTGACCTTCATGTATGGACAAGATGCACATCCACCATGAATAGAACACCCCTCTCCACTAGCAACTCCAGGTACAATGGGTAGACCAACGTCACCAACTGATTGTCGGTCAGGAGATGAACTTGTTGGTGTTTTTGTCACCGATTCTGACGAAACTGGAAAGACAATTTCAACTTTAACTTTTGCTTTTGTGTCCGAAGATTTTGCAGAACCTAATAGTTCGCGAACTGCTGCAACAATTGAAGTGATCATGCCTGATTCTGTTCCTAGCACAAATTGGAGATGTTCATCCACCTTTCTATCTAATGCTTCTTGAACTCTCTGTTTTATGAAATCTAATATATTTTGAGTGGACCCCACCACCCCCATCCCTCTTCTCTTTGCTTCCATTGCCAAAGAAAACATTTCTCCGGGGACTTCAAGATGTGCAGTTAGAAAGGCATCACAATACATTTCATGTATCTTTTCCACAACTTCATGTCCAAAAAGGTGATGTACAATACATGTCCCATCCTGATAAGAAAAATGAGTTCAGCAAATAACTTAGGACAGTAGTATTCAGGCCACAATGTTAGCAAATGAAGGACACGTGCTTAACTAACTACATTTTTAGCAATCTTGTGGCAGCAACTTAGGCATCATTACAACACAAAATATTGAGATTGAAAGGTAGTGCAGACAACAATTCGCCTGTCGGGGGCTAAACCATTTAAAGTCAAATTTAGCTGGGAAAGAACTATTTTAATCACAAAATGCATCTGACTGCTCTATTTGGTGGTGAAACAGTTTTGCCATTTGCCTTGTCATACTTTCTCCTCTATCTTGCAACGTTTCAAAAACTATGACAAGAATGGAACATATCTGCATATTGGACAGTGTGAAAATGGAATCTGCAAAGCAGAATGAACATATAACCAAGTAACTAAATGTGTAAACTGGTTTCTTCTGATCCTTCAGACAAATAATCCTAGCAAGTTAATACTAAAAGCAATCATGGCATAATATATTTTTTCATAGTCTCATCCTAATAATAGCCGCCGAAGAGCCAGTGAAAACTTACCTGAAAATAGTGCAGGCAAGGTAGCAAAGATTTGATCGACTGTCTGTTATGTTTCGGATGTACCTCAGCTATTTCTTCATCAGTCATGAACGTCATCTGCTGAAACAACTTTGCAAGGTTTGCACCCATGTAAGAATCAGGCCCGTACCAAATATTTAAGTCCGGAATTTGAGAAAAGGCCTGTGGGAGCAGAGGGAAAGTAACTTTGATTAAAGTAGAATCCCGGAGAAAATGCCCTCTTGAGGGCTATTTAATGTTTAATCAACAAAGGAAGCTAATGAAACGAACTCTTAAAATTAGCAACCTGCAGAATTGTCTGGACAACGTTGGAAGATGTACAGGTAATTGTGGGAACAAGCTCATGGGCATAAGCTTTTGTCTCCAGTGAAGTATTTATGTAAATAACATGCAGTGAGGGAGAAGAGCTTGAAGCAGCTTCAAGATAATTCATATAAGCAGGAGCACGAGCAGCATCTGCCAAGGAACAACCTATACGTTCATCTGACATCCTGTATACACCAACCTGCAGTTATGACAGCAGAATAAAATGATTGCTCTAGCAAGTGCCACTCGCATAGACTCCTGTATAAGTCTGTTAATAAAATAGACTCCATTCATCCACAAAAACTAGAAACCAGACACATAATACAGAAAGATCTCCCTCAGAATTTGCCGACCCACCATCAAACTTTAAATGATATGGTGTTATTTGCAATTATCCTATTAGAAATGTCCCCAATCAGCATATACATTTGGTTCTCGTGACTTTCTTTATGTTCCATTTCCTACATGGGCTAGTTTTCATCTATGCTAGCCAGAACCAAGAATTTTATTCCAGTGAATGGACTTGTGCACAAGTAACCTTGTTGAAAACATGTGGAATAAAAACAAATTGTCATCATTTACATCTAACAAGAAAAAAAAATCAATCAATCTAAGTGCCATAACTAAAGACTTATATACCTTCCCGAAACCAGCCTGATCAAGAATTGCACGAACATTCTCTGACATAAAATCTACACCTAAAACAGTTATAAATTCGCATCCAGCCTTTGCCATGTTAACAGCTTTATCTGCCATGACCAATGAATCAGATATATGAATATGAGGCCAGTGCTTTTGTGCAGCAGTTAAGACACCTTGCACTTCAGGGTCCATATAAAAATGAGCGACAACTCCAATTTTCTTCTCCTTTAGAACACTGACGAGTTCTTGAACTTTAGTCTCATCAGGGAACAAATATCTAGCCTGCAAAAATTAGAGTGCAGCTTAGTTTTTTTTACCTAAAAAAGGAAAACAAATTTTCTGAGCATCATGATATTTACATGAATTGCTAAGGAGGAGCATCATAAAGGTACAGAAAGAAAATAGCCGAACTATTATTCATGAATTAGAGTTTAAATATGGCCTTTGCATGAGGAACAGTATCACGAAACTCAGAAAACCTTGCTCCTCTGCCGTTAAACATTGCTAAAAGTAAACAGTGCATATTATCCAGAATGTCTAAGATGGACTGGGCAGAGCAGCGTTTTCCTGCCCATTTCATTGAACTGTACTTGGTATCCAAGATATTATGCATAAAGAGCTTACTCAAGGGAATGAATCCTAAAACCACTAAATCAATACAACATTTCTTAGATTAATATGAGGACAAAACGTCCACTTTCAAGAAGCAAAGTTGTCCATCTTCCTAATTCTCAATGAACTCAGCCCAACTTCACTGTCAAACATCCAAAACAAAGAAAACTAGTTAAAAAGCCACTATCTACACCTGCCAACAAGGATAAAAGTCGAAAAACAATTAAAAGGAAAGACCGATATCGCTAACCTGAGCTTCCGCGTAGCTCCCCTTAGCTTGAACCTGATCAGCAGTCACCACAAGGGAAGGAAAGGGCTCGAAAGGGGCCTTCCCTTCTCGCTCAGCCACCGACGCTTTTGTCCTCTTCTGCATGCTGACCAATATGTTGTGCCACGTATTAACTCGAGACCTCTCTCCTCCCGGCAGCCCCACATTCAACGCCGCCAAATCCTCCGTCTTCATTTTCAAAACCTCCTCTGGCCCAGCTCCGTCCAGCACAGTAATCAGACAGGAGCAGAACCCTCTCGTAATCTCCGAATCGCTGTCTGCCCAGAACTTCATTTTCTCATCTTCATCCATTTTGACCTCCAACCAAACCCGCGCGGTGCACCCCACGACCCGGTTAGCGTCTACCCGAGCCGAGTTGGGCATAGAAGGCAGGAGGGAAGCATAATGCAGCAAACGTTTAATACGATCGACAGGTTCAGGTAGGGACTGGAAATCCGTAACCAAGCGCTGGAGCTTCCATGGCACAAGGTCAGCGGTGTTAGAGGAGGAGAGAGTAAGGGCGGAGCAAGAGAAAGAAGAGGGACTAGGGTTATGCAAAGTCGGCGTGAAGGGAGAATGTGCGGAGGATTGGATGCATCTAACGGATTTGAAGGAAGTGAGAGAGAGAGGTTTCATATGGGTATAAGAGAGGCTAATAGAGTTAGGAGTAGGGTTAGGGTTTTGGGAGAAGGAGAAGAAAGAAGAAGAGAGAGGCGAAGGAGAGGAGTTGACACCAGGTCTGATTGTGGAAGAGAGAGAAGAGGATTCCATTTGCAGAAGCCGGAGAGAGAAGGATTGGAATAGGAAGGTTACAGGGAGAGTGTAGAGAGGGTGTAAAGGAGGAGTGATGTATCTCGAGGAAGAAAGAAATTAAAAGAAGGCGTTAATGGAAGGACGCGCAGAGGAAAGAAGAAAGAAAGGGCGTGGGTTTCAAGTGGAGAAAGAAGCAGAGACCCAAATTCCCAAAAATATTTATAAAAAAGAAAAATAAAAAAATAGACACCAACCAACTTTAGGAAACTACGCGCGAAAATGGAAAACGTCCACTGTGTGAGGCTGCTAAGAGTCGCGAGGATTTGGCTGCTTTTTAGTTTCCCTTTCTAAAAATTTTATTTTTTTAATTTTTTTTTGGCTCTTGGAGGTCCCAAAACTATTTCTTCTTGTTTGGAAAAATTAGGAAAGCATTCTTCCCAAGATAAATAAATGGAAAAATCTTGTCTTTTGTTTGACCTCTAAATTGCTATTTCATAATTTTTTGTTCCAAGTTATTGAGTTTGAAATTTTTGGATTCTATGACTGTGGATTTTATGATTCATACATGTCAAAAGTTCAAGAGGAATCAATTCAAGAATGTGAATATTACACGTTATTATTTAGGTTTTAGTTTTGACATGTTCAAGAATTTTGATTTTTATTTCAATAGTTTGTAAATTATCTTCTTGTTCTTATTTTCTTAATTTGGTCTTTTATTAGTTACGTAATTACATGTATTGATTATCATAATACTAACTTATCAATTAATAAATGAAAAAATTAGGAAAGCATTCTTCCCAAGATAAATAAATGAAAAAATCTTGTCTTTTGTTTGACCTCTAAATTGCTATTTTATAATCTTTTTGTTCCAAAGTTATTGAGTTTGAAATTTTTGGATTCTATGGCTGTGGATTTTATTATTCATGCATGTCAAAAGTTCAAGAGGAATCAATTCAAGAATGTAAGAGCTACTTGAGTAAATATTATATGTCATTGTTTAGGTTTTAGTTTTGACATGTTCAAGAATTCTGGTTTTTATTTCAATAGTTTGTAAATTATCTTCTTATTCTTATTTTCTTAATTTGATCTTTTATCAGTTACGTAACCACATGTATTGATTATCATAATACTAACTTATCAATTAATAAAATTTCAAAAAAAAATTACATATGTTTAATAATTAAATCTAAAATATATTAAATTTATAAGTCTCAGATAAAAGTAAACTAAATTAATTAAATAGGTTTAACTAATTTACAGTTTAATTAGTTTATGATTGAAGAGTACTTAATAATAAATAAATGTAAGATGGATTGTAAAATTTAATTTACAAAAAAAGTAGGATTATAACTAGATTAATCATGTTAATCATATTAACAATGATTAAATTTTCCATATTATGCTTTAAAAATTGATTTTTGATTTATTTGGAAGCTGAAAAAGGAAAATTTATTTGGTAATTTACAAAAAAGCTAAGCATGTATACATTTGCAACTGATTACAGAGAAATGCTGTGATTTCATATTAAAGGTTTCTTCAAGAACAATTATCATTAACGTGTTCTGTTTTTTAATAAATGAAGAGATAGAAGATAATTATAAATGAGTTCGTCTCAAAATTTTAATCATTCCTTATACAACATAAATAATATAATTTGTAGAGAATTTTTTGTGAAGATGTAAAGAACAATAGCCGCTAGTTGTTAAAATTTTATTCATTTCAAAAATTATAGAAAAATATTAATTGTGTCTCACTCATTTGCTCTTTTCTCTTATTATAGCACTATCCGCTTGTATTATACTATGTTTTATATATCTAAATTCTTGTTATTATTTTTATTTTTTTAGTTTAAGAATAAGATTTTGATGAACTAAGGATAAGAACCTCAATTTTTTTCCTTTTTTTTTTCTCTCTCTCTAATTTAACTAGTCATATTTTTTTAATGTTTTTTTTTTCATATTTCAGAATTACATATATTTATATTTCTTATTTTAGTAGGGATACTTGTTAATTATTATTTTATTTAAAAATATTATTTATCTTATCATACTTAATTTAGAAAAGTGTAGATATTCTGGTCTACATACAAATTAGTATATAAGTATGGATAATCATTTATTCATCCATGTGGTTTGAAATGTTTTGAGTTATATTAACTTTATCTAATACATATTGGTGAACTAACATTTAAGTATATAATTTTTTTAGGTATATGAATATTTATATATGCGCATCTTTATGTACATAGGCATTTAAGTTTAAGATTATAAGTTTTCATGTTACGTAAACAATATATTTACTGAACTAAGTACTTTGTGAGTAATTATGGTAAAAATAAAATTTATTAGCATTCTTATAGAATATGCTTCAAACAAAAACATATTTTAGCGAGAGAACACCAGAATCAATAGAAAATATATGCCCATTATATGTTAATCAATTTTTTATAATTGAAGTAAAATAAAAAATCTATTAACTATATATAACAGAGTGAGGCAAGGCATATTAAATTATATATATTTTTTGTTTTACATATTTCAAGTGTAAGTATGTTTCTGTTTAAGATCTCAAATTCACAAAACCTTTGCTTAGGGAACATCCTAACAAAATCTTCTTTTGGCATTTTCTACATCTAAATGTTTCTGTTTAAGATCTCAAATTCACAAAACCTTTGCTTGGGGAACATCCTAACAAAATCTTCTTTTGGCAATTTCTACATCATTGATATTTTACATTTCTGCCCTCCTTTCTTGCAGACAAGATCCACAGCAAGATGGGTGAAGCCCTTACGTCTGTGTTGAATGGCCTCATGTTTCCAGAAATTTCTGTTGTGTATGTATCTCATACCAAGATCTTGCAACAGGCACTTTTGGTCAGGTCTTAGAATGTTGGGACAGGGAGAGGAAGGAGATGGTTGCCATCAAAATTGTTCGTGGGATCAAGAAATACAGTGAAGCAGAAATGAAAGAAATCTTATTACTCCAACAGTTGGGAAAACATGGTAAGGGTGCCAATCGGTAAGCGGTCTTCTTTAGCTTAACCCTCACTTGAAATGTAGCCGATTTAGCAAACTTCCTTGAAAAGTTATGGAAAACTGTGTTCCGATATTATGTCTCCAATGTAGATTGAACAGCTGGAAATTTACTCCATCAATTTTACCCTATAGTACTGGATGTACTGCCGAAATTACAACCCTTCAACTGAAGATGTTACTATACCTTTCTGAAACTGACAATTCTTAAAAAGAAAAGTAGGTTAAAATCTGTATCACTTCATTATGCTGGTACAATTTGTTAGCAAAATCAAAACATAACAAGGTCAGCAGGCCATAGCAAAGTTTCCATCAGGCACGAGATTAAAAGATGCCTTGACACTGTTATTTACAAAAATGCCACAAATAGGCCTAATATGAGGCTCACACCAAACCTCTAGCAGGAACCTATACAGTTCAATCAGATATCCCCCAGAAACTAGAAGCAGCATGATGCTCCATCCCTTCTCACCTTCTCAAATGATCCCGTGTGAAAAAAGGATGCCTCAAAGCTTCCCGTGCTGTTAGTCTTTCTGACACATCATACCGAAGCAATCCCTGTACTAGATGTATTAGATCTCCCGCTGAATGTTCCACATGCTGCATTATTAGGTTCTGCAATAATTATCAACACAAAAAACTGTTAATAAACACTTCACTTATCTAATTGTTCGTCAACTCTCTGAGATAACCTAAGGGTAACATGGTAATATATATCTCTTATAAAAAACATGAAAATTCCAATCCAATAAATCAACCTGCAAGCGTGGTAACTTCAAAACAGCTTTAATACTTTCTCTTGAAGTGGCACCATCTGGCCAATCCAACCTACCCCTCCTGACATACTTCTCCGCATGTCGGCTGAAAGATCAGATAGCTTAGAAGTTAGTCCATTTAAAATTTGAGGTTGCTACTTTTTATATACCAATAGACAATTTTGAATTGATACTAACTCCACTCTTTTCAACATATGCTGAGGCAATGGTCCAAGCACCCGCTCCATCATTGCCAGGTGCTCTAGATTCTCATGAGTTTGAAATAATGCCTCACCCTATAAAAGAAGTTCTAGGATAAGCATAAATTCCAGTCTTTGTTGTCAATAAATCTACAGAGCCAAAAAACTTTAAACTTACCGTACACAACTCCACTAAGATACAACCAACGCTCCAGATATCACATGGGTAACTCCATCCAAGTCCTATATAACCAACACTCCATCAATACTCAGAAATTAACATCATCATCATGAAAATACCCAGAAAGCAAAGGGATGACACTGTACCTAGAATAACCTCTGGGGCTCGATAATGGCGTGTAGACACAATATAGTTCTGGTCTTGACGCTCATAAGTTGTACTGCCAAAATCAATCACTTTAATAGAACTAGATTTTGGGATTCTTTTGAAGTACGAAGTATCCTTGGGCGAGCGGGTTGAATTCTGCCAATATAACATTAACAAAATTTGAACATTCAAAGCAATCAGACACATGAAAATGAAGAACATACAACACCTAAAGAGCAAACATAAAACTCGAACTGTACAAAATGGCATCATTAGGGAACAAAAATATACCTTGTAATCAGGAACCTTAACATATTCTGGAGAAACAAGGAGTATGTTTTCAGGCTTCAAGTCTGTGTGTATCAAATGCAGATCATGCACAACTGCAAGTTTGAAAGTTCATATACCATAAGAAACACAGACCACAAATATCAAATTACGTAAAGATTCAGTCCACAACAGACCATACAGGTCAATAGTGTGAATATTTGTAAACATGAAACAACTGATGCATACAACTGCAACTCCCATAACCAGTTTATGAATGGATAAATGACTCCAGTAATATACAGCAAGAATAAATGTATAAGAAAGAACTAGCACTGGTAATTACTACACACATGCTACACATTCCAACAGTTGTCTGCCAATCTCACGGACTAGGTCAATGGGAAATGAGCGATAATTGTTTTTCCGTAGAAAATCGTATAAACTTGGTCCAAGCTTCTCAAAGACCTGTTGCAACCATTTAAATTCACCCACAAGGTTTAACCCCAAAATATTTGTGAATTGGGGAAAGCAATCCATTATTACAATTCAATTAATACTTACAATACAAATATGGTTACGATAGTCAAACCAGTTCCGTATTTGCACACAACTGCAAGGAATAAACCAATTTAACGGTCGCCATAACTTTTTAAGGAAGTTTGCTAAATCACCTACATTTCCAGTGAGGGTAAAGCTAAGGAGGACCACTTACCGATTGCCACCCTTATCATGTTTTCCTAACTGTTGGAGTACTTCAATTTCTATCATAGCTGCCTCACGGTATTTCTTGATCCCACGAACAATTTTGATGGCAACCATCTCCTTCCTCTCCCTGTCCCAACATTCTAAGACCTGACCAAAAGTGCCTGTTGCAAGATCTTGGTATGAGATATATACACAACAAAATTTATTGGATACATGAGGGCAATCAACACAGACATAAGGGTATACCTTCACCCATCTTGCTGTGGATCTTGTCTGCAAGAAAGGAGAGCAGAAATGTTCAGAAAATTAATTATTGGATAATTATTGACAAAAACAATTAATCAACCTATGGCCCCCATTTAAATTACAGTCAAGACTGACAAGCAAGAGTTTTTGAAACATGAGAAAAAAGTAAGTTTATAATTATGTATATCCTGACATGCATTTACTTTTGAAAACACAGATTCTGGCCATCATCAAAGAACAATTTTCAAAAATTTGTTTTTGTGTTTGAAGACCAAATCCTCAAAAATATGAATCTAGAAAAAAAGAACCTATTTTTTTCCTATTGCAGAAGTTGCTGAATATAAATTTTTTACGATGATGGTGAAGTGTATTTACAGCGAGATGTTAAATTATCTCCCAGCTCAAACATGTAATGCCCATCCTTGTCATCTTCTCGCCATGGGGGAGAACCATTTCGAGCAACTCCCTTTACAAATAGGGAAGGAATAGTAGTTTGGTCTGGAAGTGCTCCCGAGTATGCAAAGCTTGGTACATTGCCAACCTCTTGTCCAAATAACATTCCTACCTGAGCCTACACATAGCCATCCATTTATGTACCAACACAGAATTGATCAAAATTGTACCCATCCCTCCCTTCAAATATGTTCTGATATACATCTCCAATATTTCCAGAATAAAATTGATTATAGAATAAATCTCACATAAATAGATAAATAAGACTATAAAAATTGTAAGGAGCAAAATACCCACTAGAATCAAACACAACCCGGCAGAAAACTTCCGTCGGACCGGTAGCACAACTACTAAAGACATTAAATCCAAATAACTAAAGGAGAAACATGCATTAAAGAGATTACAAATGTTCTTCAAGACGAGCAAATCTTGAACCAAACAATTACTAAAAAATATTATTCCAAACGTCCACAATAAAATCGAAATCATCCGCTTATTATTAAGCCACAAAGAACTTAACATAATCCGATTAATCCAAGACTAATTTTAAGATCGAATTTAATTGTAAGAAAGGAAACCCATATTAAAGTTAAGTCCCATAACTATTTTGCAATTGTTATACACCAGATGCAGAAAAACAAAGAAAACAATAAGATTCGATCCCGTTACAATCCCTCGCAGATATACGGACAAAAAACAGAACGCGATCGAGCTAAAGAAAAGAGCAGCACGAAGAAAGCAACCTTTAAACCGAAAGATAAATTCATACCTGAACTAAAATAATCAGATCTAGAAGGTAAAAGAACATAAAGTATAAAAAGTCCACCAGATATAGATCTAAAAAATCAATAATAAATAAAACGAAAGAAATTCAGACGATATAGAGGAAAGACGAAAAACAATACCTTTGATGCCTGAGGCACGACGTCCCATCCTAAACGCGCTCTCTTTCTAGGTCGGCGATCCATGTGCGTATGAGGAAACTCAAGAACGCGCTCCATCTCCATGGTCACAGAAAGATCTGAAACAAACTAGCAGGGCCGAAAAAGAAAAGGACGATATCTGCTTCAACTTTCAAGGAGAAAGAAAACGAAGAAGAGAAGCATGGTATGAGGAACACCAGGTCTAAACCTACTTTTAACCTAACAAATCAAGGGTAAGGCGGTTAGGCAAATATCCAACCGTACACGTGTCTTCCTTATAGCCGTGATCTTTGCCAAATGAAATAAAACTATTAAAAAAAGGTTTTTGTAAACCGTGGTTACAGATGAGTTGCGTCAACCGTGGTTAAGTTAGCTTTTGGTAACCGCGACGCAGAATATGGTTGGTTGATAGTGGCTGGTGGGCCCCATCTCCTCGTAGGGACGCGTGCTCTAATCGCAATGGCAGATGCCGCGCGAATGTACTTGCGTTGTTTGGCTGAAATAGCAGTATTGAAAGTATCTTTAAAAATGTATTATCAGGTAACCTCCAGAAAAATACAAAACCTGAAGATTGGCTACAGAGGGAATGCCAATCTCATTATAATCTCTAAAGAATGTAATTCCTGTAAGAAAAAATGAATACGGGAATGAAAGATAAACCACCTTGAAGCAAGTCAAGTTTAGTGATCCGAAGGCCATGCCATGGTTCTACAGCTCCAAACAAACTAATTTGTATGTTGAATATTACTCCATTGAAATATTCTCAGTTAATATAGAATTTTCACTGCGTTTACAATTTTCACCAAATATAGCACTGAAATTCGTCTCACTTTTTAAGATTCTTTGCATTTAATCTTGTTATTGGTCCGCAGAAACTTTTTAGGTTTGAAACTCTATTTGTGTTTACATCGTTTGAAATTTGCTTCAACTCATATTTTGATACTTTTTGAGTATCTTGAATGTTTTTATCTTTATTTGCATCACATAAGTAGTGCAATAAGATTATAGAGCTACTTTAACAAAATCTACATTTAGCTCACATGGTTCAATCATCCTCAAGCTTTTCACAAGAGCCCATTGTAGCTAGTTTCTCTAGTATTCTTTATGCAATAATGTTAATAAAGTAAATTCAAAGAATAACAAAATATATTGTGGATTATTAATATTGATATTATCACTTCGCCACACTTATACTTAGATATCACTAATAACACTTTATATGAAGTGACCTTGCTAAATGAAAATAAAGTTAAGTGTATCTCATAGGGACCAGTTTAAATAAATGATAATTTGATCCTATAAAATGTATTGTATATATTATCATTTAAATTTAATTTAATATATACTAGAAAGTTGACAGAAGATAATAAATGTTGCTTGATATTCATATTATAATTATATGTAATACTTTATGACATGAAAGAGCGTGTGATATGAAGAATGTGTCGTATTAGTTCAGGCATGGAGGAAAGATCAAAGAACTATATAAATATAACTTTTTTATAGTTAGTTTGGGCCCCAGTCAAGGTAAATATAATATTTTGAGTTGTGACACTATCGCCTAGGGTATCCATTCAAGTCCAGTTCATGACTGTTCTTTTGTAATATGAAGAACACAAATTTTAAACATTGTTTTAATTTAATTTACTATTATATTTTGAAATCCTATAACAAAGTTTCACATGATGGTTATAAATATTTTTGTTCGACTATTGATGATTATAGTAGATGTACATGGGTGTATTTGTTGAGAATTAAGGTTAAGACCGATCTTAATTTATAAAAATCTTTTACTTTAATTGAGACCCAATTTGGTAAGAAAATTAAGGGACCTGAACTAACAATAGAACG